GCTTCGGAAGCAGTTATTACTAACTCATCTATCATCGTTGAAGAAGTCACTTCAATTTTGCCATCTAAGACATCTGACTGGAGTTCTGGTGGTGCCAAGGAAACATATGCCATTTCTCTGATGTCAGAATCCAGACTGATTTCTTCCAATTTATCCTTTTTATCTTTTTCACTTTCTGGAGGCGAGAGAGTCATATCTACCTCCTTATTCAAATTATCTGGGCCCTTGGAATCTCTACCTTCAGTACTTTGGTCCTCATAGAAACTGGGCTTTTGTGCTTTGTCTCCCAGTAAGTGAGGAATTGAAACTGGAGCAGAACCTTGCTCAGACTCTCTGTTTACTGGACATGTTGGGAAATTACTCCTATCTGCACATGCTTCTAGGTGTCTGCCCTCACCTGCCAGGCTGGGTTCGTTTATCGGCACTCCAGAAAGAAGGTGCCTCCCTGCTGGCTCTGTGGTTTTCTCTACTGAGTGCTTTGATGCACCACTGGGCGTGGACTCAGAGTCTCCTATCACATGCCCTCCATCTCTCCCTGCTTCATTTTTCATGGCACCAGCAAGCTCACTTTTATTCTGAAGACAGTTAGAATGATTGTTAACTGTTTCTATGGCAACTCCTCCTGTGCTCATAGAGGGCATAACAGCTGAGGGACCCTTGGGTCTTTCTTCCTTTGGGACTCCATCTTTGCTATAACTATCTACATCTAATAATCTGGGAATCTGGGCTGGAGCTGTCTCTTGCTTACTTTCTGTCAAGGTACCTGGAAATGAATCACCTTCCTTTACTACTTGAGAAGTAGAAGTGGGTGGTTTTGTACAGGCTGCTGATTCCTGAGCCTCTAGGGGGACTGACTTATTCATCAACCCTAGTGGAGTTCTGGGGCAGGTAAATGTAATATTGCTATTTTCGTCCACATAGCCCATTCCTTCAATTCTGTGGTCCCCTATGGTTTCCATGGGAACATGTATTTTTGTTGCATCTATCTTATTCTCCAGAGTGTGCGTCTCAGGGAAACTATTTTTAGTCTTTGTGCTTTTTCCATCATTACTCCTTTTATTTGGTTCGTCAGCCACTGCAGTGTGCCCTTTGGCCACATCTGTCTTATTCTCCTCAGACAGGACAGAAGGAACAAATCCTGCCCCCTGGATTTGGTCTTGGCAACTCACATCTGTCATCTTGGTAGCCAATTCAGTAATAGGAGAATCCTTGCCTGTGTTTGTTTTATTTCCGCCAAGAGCCCCAAGTTCAAAAGAATTAACCTCAACATTTCTACCCTTTTGTTCAACTACTTCCACTGTGGGTGTATCTGATGTACATGACAACAAAGGGACAGTAGGTTCTATTTCCTTGTTTTGATGGGGAGTACTATCAGTAACCCCATCCTTCCTTACAAAAGGTGGGTTAAGGATTTCTTCCTTCCTCTCCATTCTAGCAGGCTGTGTGGAATAATTATTTTTATACTTTTTGGTTTTGCCTTCACTGCCTCTTTTTTTAGGCTTTTCAAAAATCCAAGGAGTTGCCTCATGACCCATCCAAGGACACTTTTCCTCCTTGCTCTGGCTGCCGACCGCCATGTCTGCAGCTACAGCGCCTCTTTCTGCTCTAGCATTGGAAGCCTGAATCATGCCTGACCCGCTTCCCAAAGGAATCAATGCCTGCAAGGTGCCTGCCACCCTAGGGTTTGTCATCTCCTTAGGTTCCCCCATCACCATTGCTTCAGTGAGCTGAGTCACAGTCCCTAGCTGCTTTGAAAAATCCAGCCCCAGCTCCTTGCTCTTATCCCCAGTAGCCATCCTCCCACTTGGCACAAAGACAGGTCTGCTGTCCTGGCTGTCTGCAAGGAACGGTGGCTCAGACTTTGCTCTCACCTTCCCAGAACTTGCTCTCACCTTCCCAGAACCTGTCCTTCCCTTCCTGCTTTTGCCATCACCTGCCATTCTCTTAAACGGTTCATTCCCTAGTCCAGGGGCCTGAGCTAACACTGTGTCCTGCAGCTGCTCAGAAGCAGAGATGCTGTTCTCATGTCTTTGCTTGGGAACACTTTCCTTTTTTAGTTCTTTAACCTCTTCAGCTCCTTCAGAAAATTCTTTCTGTTTGTCATTCTGCAATTCAGTCATTTTACTTTCATCATTCCCTTCTTTTAGACTACTTCCTAATGGATCACCTGCTGTCAAAGTGGATTTGGAAGTAGGCAGTTCTTTGGCTGCACTGGGTTTTGAAACTCCATCCACAGCCTCTTGGTTCATGATGGGAGAGCAACCCTCTTTGGGTCTGACCGCCAAAGGAATTTCTACTTTGTATGAAGAAACTTCTGTCAGGGGTCCTTTCAGACTGAGGGAGCTGACTGTCTGGCTTTCATCCACAGGAGTCTGGAGGTGGGGTGCAGCCTGCAGTTTGCACTCATCTTGCAGCAATTTCTTGTCCTGGCCCTGTGGTGCTGACTTGTTACCGTTCATCTGTGCCTCAACTCTCTGTCTGGGCTGAGAATTTACCATAGTTTTCAGGGCTTCTTCCAAAGGACATGAAGGAATACTTAGACTGTCTGAGACAAAGCTCTCAGCTACCAGTTTGGCTTCTCTGGAATCAGTTTCACATCCCCCTTTCAAGTCTTCTCTGGAGACTAGTCCATGTTCTGTGCCCCCAGTGGTGGGCTGGCTGGGGGGCACAACTGACTTTTGTGAGTCCGTGGCAAAGGAATAACCTTTAGGCTCATCTCCATTGTCATCATCCCAAGGTCCCCCAGCCCGGGGTTGAGAATACCTCTTCTGCTTTGGTTTCTTCTTTTTTTTCTTCATCATCATTGGTGAGCTTTCTATATCCCAGGCCTCCCTGCCAAGATCTCTCTGGGGTTCAAGGAAGTCACCATGAATAGTTTTCCTCTGGTTCCCAGGCTCACCACAGGAAGACGAACCAGAAACCCAACCCAGCTCTGACAAAGGGCAGGGGCCCAGCCCAGGATCAAGAGTCTTCCGTGGAGAAGAGCCCCCCAGCAGCTCAGGAGGGACCCTGGCAGGCCTGGGCCGGGTGGACCTGCGGTCACTGGGTCTGCACGCTGGTTTGGCTTGTGTGGGAGGGGTACCTGCAATACATGAAGCTGGCTAAAATTCCAAACAGAAAATCCCTTGTTATTGCTTCTTTTTAAAAAAATCCATTTACTGACATTTTCACCAACCCACAAACTGATTCATTTAGGAAAACAGTTTTTTCCAAAACATTTCTCACTCTTAACTGGAATTAACAAATATTTAACAAAGACCCAAGATCATCATCTCAGGTAAAGATTTTTTTTTTCCCCAAAACAGATTTACAAAATAATTGAAACTTGAGAAAAGAAATTCAAACAGAGATCTTCTGAACTGTATGATATGCACCTAAATACCTATAAATCTCAACTGATGCTTATTTGTAATTATTTTTAACAGGTACATAATTCACAAGATAATAACAATGGTAAGCTCCTCTTTTGGTCCCATTAATTGACTGAATGAAATACATATGATTTTACAATTCTAATAGTCTGTCACCAAAATTACACTATTTATCAATATTATACCAATTACTTGGGAAACAGACCAGAAGAACAGAACTATACTACTTTAAGAAAAAAAAAAAAAGAAAAAAAAGAAGAAAAAGAAAAGATACTGAATTAGTATTTTGGCCAGAGAAATAGCCACACTATTTCAGAACCAAAGCCTCCTACTTTGAAAGACAAATGTGTTAAATTTCAATGTTCTGTTGCTAAAGGTAAAAGACAGAGATATATACATAAGGAAAATAGGGTGATGAATTAGAACAATTAAGGTGAGCATCCTTGGCAAAGTTTCAGGAAGTCAGCTAGTACCACCTCTGGCCTCTTAGTCAATGAATGCAGTATGGATCCAAGATCCTGGAAAGAGACTCCGTGAGAGCAGACTAGGACCGCTCTTGCCAACTCTGATGCAATGAATGACTTCAAAGAATATGAAAATACTTAAATAGTGACTTTTGTTCTTGTCTTTATCCCTCCAATGTCCTCCAAATCCTACCATTTACTAAATATAGCTCAGGCCAATTATTGTTTTTCTTGAAAATTGCTAGGCTTTAGCAACTCACAGCATTTATAACATTTAACTTGGGTATTAATCAGCAGCTATCTGGTGCTATCTCTTATACTATTTAATTCAATTGTTATATAAATCTTTGATTTCAGAGTTCATGCCTGGGAATTTATGTCTTAGCATGACGTGAACACAAGGACTTGCGAAATCTTTAATGATATGCTGAATCACTAAAATAACATTTTAAAGTCATATATTTATTTACTTGGTGCTAGACAGTTCAAAGCAGTAGAGATTCCAAGTGAACTAAGTCTTGGACCCTGCCCCCAAGTGCATGTTCTAACCACAGTCACAGAATAATAGACAAAGAATCATGAAGTTGATAAAGTTGATAATCACGTGTACATGCTTCTGGCTTAGCATCAAAACTGTGTGAAGCTCACTGAATAATCCAACTTTCAGGTTAGCAAGTATTTTAGGCTCCTTTAATGTATTTAAGAATTATCTGGAAACTTGTTAAAATGCATGTTATGACTGAAGGCCTGAGGAGGAGCTGACAATCCTGCATTTCTAATAAGCTCCTAGGTAATGGCTGAAGCTGTTGGGCCACGGAGCGAACTGTAACTAACAAGGAGTGACAGAACATGTGACCAATTCATTCATCTTAGAACTGAGTTAACTGGATATAAGGAAACTAAATAACCTGCCTAAGGTGACACAGGATATAACAGAAATGGCTGTCTTGGATGACGTGTCTTAGGTTGATGCAATGATAACTTTAAAATATCTAACAAGATGACTCTCTGCCTAATCAACACAAAATCTGGTTAAGAAAGAGAGATGGCTTCGTAAGTGGTCCTGATGACTATCACCTTATAACCAGGAACAATGTCTTCTAACACCTTCCCATCTTTCCCAGTTTAAGTGGTTTCAAAGAGGCCACTTTGTTTCCTGACTTACCTGAAGTCTCTGAAGCAAGCTCAGAAGTTTGACTGGATGGTTTCTTTTGCTCTAGTTCTTCTAACACAGAATCCTCATCTGTTGGCAAGCTGTGCTTTTGGCCCATGGCCATGACTCCTTCTAAAGGTAAAAGTCAAAACCACAAAGATTTCAGAAAAGCACTGATTCAGCTACCTCTCCACCTGGCAGAAATTGGAAATGGGAACAGTTTTTGAGGAATGAGGGATGCCTCTATGAGGGCAGAAGAGAACTGGAGTGGTAGTTTGAAGGGGGAGGGCGAAGGGGATTGGGATGGTTGGGTTTTTTTGTTGTTGCTTTTTTACACAAGGGAAAAATAACAACTGTTTTTATGTTGGTGGGAAAGATTCAATATAAAGTGGGGTGGGCGGGGGGAGTGGCGGAAATTGGTGAGAGGCAGGAAGAGAGAGAATGGCCAGGGCAATGTGCATAAGGACACAAGGTGGGATTTAGTTTAAGACAAAGATGCTGGCCCTGATGACTAGGAGCAAGGACCATTCGCTGATGGCAACAAGAGGGAAGGCAGAGTCTAAGATAAAGAAACAGGTAGTAAGATACATGAGCAAGTGGAATTTTGTGAAAGTTCTCTTTAATTACTTTAATCTTCAATTATCTACAAGGAAAACAGGAAGACGAGCGAGAACAAGGATGGAGAAGGGGCTGGCGGCTGGAGGAGGGTGAAGGTGAGAAAAAACTGTCTAGGGGAGCAGGAATGTGTGTAGACTTGCAAAGTACAGTGGGACTGTCTTCATTTTACCTAGCATGACGCCTGTCTGTTACCCTTCTGGAGACTACACAGACAGAAATATTGCAAGTAAACATAAGCCCATACCTGGTGAAGTCTGACTGACAGGTACAGCTGACTGTCCCTCATCCTGGAGAGATTTTAACTGGGAATCCTCACTTGTTGCTTCCTGGGTCCGTGCAGTTTCCAGGTCCTTAACGGGAACTGGCACCACCTCTGCTGCTGAGAATTTGGCCAGAGCCTCACTGTTGGCCAGGTTCATCTCCGTCTCAGGGGGCTGAGCAACATGCTTTGCCACGGTGACCTCTGTTTCCGGGGGCAGAGACACATTCCTGCCCAGGGCCATCTCTGTTTCTGGAGGTGAAACTGTATCCTTGCCCAGGGCCACCTCTATTTCTTGACATGGAGCCACGTCCTTGGCCAGGGTCGTCTCTATTCCTGGGGGTGGAGCCATGTCTTTGACTGGCATGATGACTTCTGTTTCTGGAGGTGCAGCCATGTCCTTGTCTAGAACTGCCTCTGTTTCTGGGGGTGCTCTCATTTCCCTGATCAGGGCCACCTCTGTTTCTGAGGACAGGGCTATCTCTTTGGCTGAGGGTATTTCTGTGGATGACACAATGTCCTCATCCAGGGGCGCCTCTATCTCCGAGAGTGATGCTACACCCTTGACTGGGGCCATCTCTTGGTCTGTAGGTGGGACTGTGCCCTCAGCTGGGGCCAAATCCATTCTAATAGGTGGTGTGCTCTCTGTTTCTTTGAACAGTAGCACGTCCTGGGCTGCGGATACCTCTGTTTCTGTGGACAGTAACATGTCCTCATCCAAAGACACATCTGCTTCTGTGGGCAATACAACATCCTTAACTGCAGTTTCCTCTGTTTGTACGGGTAGTACCACATCCTTGAGTAAGGCCATATCTGATTCGATGGATGATTCCATGTCCTTGACCAGTGCCTCATCTGGTTTGGTAGGTAATTCCATGTCTTTAGCCAATGCCACCTCTGTCTCTGTGGCTGGCACCACATCTTTAGCCAGGACCATCTCTGCTTCTCGAGATGGCGCCATGTCAGTAGCCTGCAGTTTCATCATCATCTCCAATGCTTCTGCTGGCGCTCTCTCTTCTCCTGATGCCATTTCTATTTTCTCAGCTGGCTCTAATGGAAGCAAGTTGGACACTTAGTTGGACACTTAGGATCCATCACTGCCTGCTCATAGCTCTTCACTCAAAACTTACTTTTTTTAGAGCATGAGAGATCTGGCTTTTTTGACCATAACGTCCTAAACATAACTAAAAAGCTGTCCAGTTAATGCATTTGTTGCTACTCTTCAACAGTTTCAATATTTAGAAGAATAAAACATTGGCAGAACATATAGTGGAGGAGGAAAGGCAAAGGAGAGAAAAAAAACACAGGTCAAAAAACCCCCAAAGCCAAAAAACACACACCAACACAGGTGCACAATTAGTGGCAGAAAGGGAACATGTGGACATCAAGAAACCCCCGACCTCAGAGTTCTAAATCTGCACTGAATTACACAGACTCTTTGTCCTCTAACCCTAATTGTATTTCAACTACAACTTAATTCCTCCAGCTGTGAAATCAGTACTTTAAAACATTTAAAAGTTTAAAAAGTTCAAAAGGTTAAAAACATCTGTGACAGTTGTGAAAATTTTATCAATACTGTAAGCAGAAGGCTAAAAACGATATGATGATTATTGATACTGTAACTATTAAGTGCAAAGAAGGAGTCTAATAACGTACCTGCTGTGGGCTGCAGAGGCTGTGGAACGGCCGCGGGGGAAACCAAGGATTCCAAGTGTGCAGGGTTTGGGGCTTCCGCAGACCACCCTTGAGGAACAACAGCTGCAGAAGCGAGTGTGTCGCAGGGTAACACACCTAATGGTAAAACAGAAATCCATTTTTGAAACTCAGTCAACATTGAGGAAAAAATACATTTGATATTTAAAATCAGTTTATATACTGCCATAAAGACATAGGTCAAAAGGAACAATGAGAAACCAAGAAAGTTTAAAAGTAAAAATTGCTGACGTTTGTCAGGTTTGGCTAATGGTTAGGGTGTCATGTCACACCATTAATCAACATTGACTGGCCACCTTCTGCAGTGTTTTGCAAAGATTCAAAAATTACAATTTTGTGAAAACAATTTGTAAATTATTAAGAACTAGACAGATTTAAAGCATTATTATTATGCTGTCCTCTGCCAGACAATACCACATGGGATTTAATATCACCGGGTCCTTGCCATCAGGATTACAATAGAGAGGCAAGAGACACATATATCAAACAAGGAAAAGTGTGTTGTATGGACTAAATATTATTAGAGTTTACAAACAACCATGAAGAAGACCAGAACAGTCACAGAAGGTCTCAGAGGAGAAACAAGAGCGAGAAGAGAGGAGAAAGAAGTCAATTTCAGGAACGGAAATTGAGCACTGAGCAAAGCAAAGATGAAGATGCCAAAAGCACATGAGTGCTTCTGGGACTATGAGATTAATCTGATTTAAACAGGTCTTGTAAACCAGAGAGGTAAAACAAGATTAGAACAAACAACAGAAGGAGGAGCTGGAAAACCAGATAAATCAAGAGCAAAAAACCCCCAAAGGACAAGGGGGGGGAGGTGCTGTCTTAAGGTATTAGTCATGAAAATGAGATATGAATAGACAACAAGAAGTCAGAGTGGTCAGGTATATTCAGAAATAATTTTAAAAGGCAGCAGGATTCTCACAGGTGACTACTGAGATACTCTAGGTATGAAGTGATGGGGCATTCATTGGGATAAAGCAGAGAGAGAATAAAGGAAGAGAATAAAGATGCTGCAAAGACAGAAGTCACTGCAACTAAGTGACTCCCTAGCTAGTGAGCTGGAAAAAAACAAAAAACCAGGAGTCAAAGCCAAAATCAACTCAGGAGATTAGACAACAGCATCAAAGTCAATTTATTTAACATCTCTCTTCCACGAGATCATCAGGCCACAGGAAAGCACAAGTGAGACATATTACTACTAGTCAGGATCTTTACAAAAAACAAAATTATTAACATAATTTGAAGTGGGACTTACTGATGATAGGTACTGAAGGAAACCAGAACATGTCACCCCCAGATACACTACTTTAACATAAAAATTTTGAGCTGAAGGCAATCAAGCAAACAGCAAACCCAGAAAAAGCTACCACCTTTCTGACTAAAGGCAGGATATAAATTTTCCTTTCACTGGCAAGAGATGCTTATCAGGCCAGAGAGGGCACCAGAGGAATCTGCCAACAAACCTGACTCCATTTGTTTCCTCCCACATATTTACCCTCCCACGGTATGACTCTCTCAATAGGTCCAGACTGTAGTCCACGAGCAATAACAGACTACCTGGACACTGCTCTTTCCTCAGCATAAAGGAGATTTGTGAAACACATTCAGGTGTCAGTTACCCTTGACTTTTTAAAAAGTCTTTTTCACGAGTTGATGTGGAAGAGAGAGCATGTGACACAGTCAGTAGGTGGTGGAGTGCTAGGGTAATCCTGTTTACAATAAATTGCCTGATTTTCACCTCAAAAAAAAAAAAAAAAAAAACTGCTTCATTTGTCCGGTCATTTCTCTGTAAGTTTATTACTCTTTCTTGAGGATGTTACACAAACTGAATTTCTAAGCTACCACTTTGAGTTGCTTTCTTCCCATGTGATGTATGCTGCATGCTTGTCTGTCCAGGGGATTCTCCAGGCGAGGACACTGGAGTGGGTTGCCATGCCCTCCTCCAGGGGGTCCTCCCAAGCCAGGGATTGAACTCTGCTCTCCCACATTGCAGGCGTATTCTTTACCATCTGAGCCACCAGGGAAGAACAAATTATTTGCCTTTTTTTGGATAAATCTTTTTATTAAACTCAACTTAACACCAAAGATGAGTAGAAGTAAAGTTTTGCCTGCCTTACAGGACCTTGGTCACATTCATGTTAAGCTATATAAAACCAGGAATGAAGATACTACTAATTGATAACTAAGATCTGTTTAACGTTTTACTATGTACCAGACACTATGTGGTATACTTTTACATAATTTTATTTAATCATCACCACATCTTTAAGGTAAGAACTAATGGTGGCTCCATTTTATAAAGAAATCAAACTTTAGGGAGGACGTAACTTGCTTAATAAGGCCATGAGCTAATAAAATGTGGAGAGAGAACCTGGCCCTAGGATACAGGATTCAAGATTCTCCCATAAGAGGAGGTGAGCAGCCCCTGAGCAGCCCAACTGTGAATTCTCTATGACTAAAACTGCCCATGGAATTTTCCTGGCAAGAATACTGGAGTGGGTTGCCATTTCCTTCTCCAGTGGATCTTCCTGACCCAGGGATTGGACCTGGATCTCCCGCACTGCAGGCAGATTCTTTACTTACTGAGCCACCAGGGAAGCCCAATTTAGAAACAGCCTTGCGACAGTCAGAGTGGTTCCCTAGTGGTTCACTTCAAATGTGATGAATGAAAGGCCACATTGTTTGCAGTTAAGAAATAAATCCACTTAGAGAAATCATACCATAACTATCTTTCAGGGAATCATTTTGTTCTACAAATGCTGAAGTATTGGTTGTTCCACTGGAGAAAAAGAGCAAATCTTCTAGGCCGTCATCATGGTGCATCTTAAAGGGATCTGGAATAAAGAAGGAATTTAAAACTCATTTCCAAAAAAAAAAAATAATAATAATAAAATAAATAAATAGAACTCATTTCTAGAACATAACTAGAAAGATTAGCATTTATTATTGAATGAATATTCAATATTATTGAATACTGTGTATTGTCAACAGTGTGTTAAATAAGATAATATGTGACTAAACGTGCCAGGGAATCAAATATTCACTAATTCATTTTCACAGTTAAAAATACAAAAATCTCATATTCTCTAATATTTGATTATCTAAATCTGACAGGCAACAAATACACAAAACTGAAAGTAAAATTCACACTTAAGTCTATACTAGGAGGTGAGAGTACAAATAAAACTAAACTTTCAGTATGTATTTACAGAGCAGACATTCATTTTAGGTTATTAAAAAAAAAAAGTAAAAAGGACATTTTCACCTCCTGTGAACATCATGAGGAAAACTGCATTTCAAAAGCTGTCTGGAAAAAAAGAAAAAACAAAAACAAAAGCTGTCTGAATGAGACAAGGTGAACAGCTGGCGTCTGAAGAGAATGAACTCTATACTCAGGAGCTGGCATGAGGAAAAGCACTAAAAACATCAGATAAACTCTACCTTCTTACAAAAAAAGAGCAAAGCCACTCAGGCCAAGCAAGAATTCTGCTCTCTAAGGAGGCCATCTCAAAATGCAACATACATCTGAATTACTCTGGAAAGCCTTAAAAGATTGCCAGGACCTAAGAACATGCATTTCTATTCTCAGTGAATGCTAATTCTGTACTACTACTGTCAGAGGCGGCTGCACTGAAAGTCTAGGCCTTAAACTAGCAACAAAAATAAATGTTGTATGGTTCGCATATTAGGAGAGGAAGACTGCCAAATCACATGTAAAAATCAAAGATTTCTATGAAATTCTGTCATTTATTCATTAATATTTTGTTGTTGTTCAGTTGTTCAGTCATGTCCGACTCTTTGCGACCCCATGAATTGCAGCACACCATCCCATTCCTTCACTATTTCTCAGAGCTTGCTCAAACTCATGTCCATTGAATTGGTGATATCATCCAGTTATCTCATCCCCTGTTGCCCCCTTCTCCTCTTGCCCTCCATCTTTCTGGGCATCAGGGTCTTCTCCAATGACTCGGCTCTTAGCATCAGGTGGCCAATATATTTTACTGGGTGTGTATGATATGCAGACCCTGAGCACTCTAAAAATCCTAAGATGTATTAAAATAAGGGTTGAAAACATTTCATAGATGGATATATTTTAGTTCAAGTCAAGAAAGGTCTTCACTTGACAAATATTTAAACTGAGAACTAAAGATGGAGGAGAGATGAAGACCTTTCTTTTTCTACATTCCCTCCCCTTAGTGGAAGGGAATCTCCCACTCACAGCTTCACAGGTAAATATACAGAGACATAAAGTAAGTTAGTGGTGGCTTAGGGCTAGGGTGGATAAGGAGGTAGGGAGTGAGATCTAAGAAGTACTGAGTTTCTTTAGGGGGTGATAATTCTAAAATAGACTCTTGTGATGGCTATACATATATATAAATATACTAAAATCCACTTAATTGTATACTTTGAATGGGTGAATTGTATGGTATGTGAATTATATCTCAATAAAAAAGAAGAGAAGTCACTCAGTCGTGTCCGACTTTTTGCGACCCCACGGACTGTAGCCTACCAGGCCCTTTGGTCCACGGGATTTTCCAGGCATGAATACTGGAGTGGGTTGCCATTTCCTTCTCCAATATCTCAATAAAGCTTCTTTTAAAATTACATATATCCAGGGTAACCAATGACTGGAGAGTGGTACAGAACATCAAGTACTAGATCATTTGGAACCTGTTATGAGCAGCTTATAAGTTAGACAACAAAAAAGAAACCCATATAGTATAAGTGGAAACAAATACCTTGAGTTCTCAATTTGATTGCTCTGACATGGAGGTATCAATGCCACTGCTTTGAGGTCTTTATGCAGCCCACCCCTCCTGCCACTTCTAGCTCTAGGCAACGACAGCTTTTTTTCTCTCTATAAATTAGTTTGAATTTTATAGAAACTGGGTATAACTTTTCATTTTGTCTTTTGTCAAATGAAGATAATATATATTTGGCAGAGTTAGGTAATAAATGTAGAGAGTTCATATATTGAGGCTGTAGCACTGTGCCTGGAACAAAACAGGCATTCCACAAATGGTGTCCTTATTACTATAATTCTCTACAGAAGAATTAAAGTTCTAGGGTACAACTGATCGTTTAGTCCTCAATGAAGATGAATTTCAGTTCATTTAGTCAAAACAGGTTTTGAAGGGGAGAGAACAAAGGGGCACTTGCCTCAGAGGAAAGGATAAATAGAGAGGAGAAAGGTCAACTAAATGTTCAGAGGGAATAATTATACCTTGGTTGTGCTTTACGAGCAATATTTAGGTTGAAATGTTTTATCTGAGTGGTGATTGGAGGCTCTTCATGTTTAAGTTATTACATTCAGCGGTCACAAGCAAGTGTTGCACTTACCAGTCTGGATAGGATTTACCACGTGCTCGGGTTCAAAGCAAAAGTTTGTATTTTCTGGCCAGTTCTGGCTGTTCTGAAATCCCTGGTAGGCTACCTTCTCGTCAAGGAATTCAGTTGGAAACCCTTCAAACAGAAACAGGAAACAAAAGTTATACGGTACCACTGTTAACATTTGATTGTTTCTATTTCTGTCTTTTGAAATAAAACTGCTATGAACATTCAAGTACAGGTTTTCATGTAGACATACGTAAGATTTTATAGAATTAATTTAGCTTAGTTCTCAAATAAAGAAAACACAAATGTAATAAATAGCACGGCCCCATTTGGAATTATTAAGGAGAAATCAACTGGAAGATGCTATGAGAAAACAAGATTTTTCTGATGCCTTGAGGTTGACAATAGCACTCCATTTGTAACTGACTCAACAGATTGTAAGCAATAGTCTCAAAACTTGGCTCTTCGGCTGTCTTCGAGAATAGTTTTTCTTTCCCCCACTTAACTATTAGTAAATATTCTAGTAAATCTGCAAAGGTGTTTAAACCACAGAAGGGATAGGAGGAATAGAGGGAGGGAGACAGTAAACAAGCAAGCAAGCAAGGAAGCAAAGGGTTGAGTACTAGTATAGATTAAGTGCTAGACTCTGCTCTGCTGAAAGCTAACGGTATAAACAAAGGACAGCCTTTTTATTTCTCCCCGGCTCAATAATGACCTCTAAGGATACTTGTTCAGTTACAGAATTACACTAATAAAAGAATAATTTTACATTACACAGGAAAGTATTAGCATTTCAATCTTTGAATTATGGCCTACTTAGAGAAGGTGCATCTACCATCTCTTATTTCAAAGCTAATAAAGTCAATCTGCTTAGGGTTTTAACAAATGCTTCCCACAGAATAAGAATGAAAGTGTTGGGTGCTAATCTGATACTGTTCGTCATCCACTGAAATGAACCATGCCAGGCTTATTTCCTGTGACTCCAACAGGAAAGCAGGTTAGTCCCCTCAGGGCCCCTGCCGAAGCCTGTGCTTCTAGCCCCTGTGCCCTTGCTCATGTGATCCACCTGTCTGAAATGCTCCCTCTTGGACCAACATCCCAAGGCCAGGACAGAGTCAGAGCTTCCACAGAGCCTCTCTTCAGATTTTAATGCTCATTTTCCTTTTCTTAGCTCTTTCAACATTTGTTGTTGTTCCTAGCAAACAATTTAGCCCTTAGCCACATATTTTTTTATTAGTCTTTATTTTTAAAAAACCAACTTTTAAAATATTCTATATTCATCATTTTAAAAATCCATTATTTAACGTGTTAATCTTATTTCTCCAAATCATTAATATGTGTTCTTTAAAAAGTAAAAAGTATGCTTTTATCACTTTATTTCTTCATAATGCTTAGCTCAGTGCATGGCACAGAATTGTGCTCAAAAAATAAGGTGGTATCAAAATTACCACAAGGGTCATTATTCTAGACTGGATGGTTTAACAAATTCATACTATACATCAACCTTCTTGGAAAGCGATTTATATTTAATATGAAAAGCATAAGAAACCCAAGAAGCATTTAAGCAACAGTCTATCATTTCTAAAATAAACTTTAAAAGGCTGTGATTCTGCTTAAATTTCTTACCCTTTGGGAAATAAAGCAGTTGTTAATCAGTGAAGTGGGTACATTTTGCCCACACATTCTGGAGAAGAATAAGCACCTCTGGTAATCTCCCCTCTGTGCTGGTGAGGCAGCCCAGCCTGGAAGCAATGTTCAGAATAGCCTCTGGCCAACAGTGTTAATAATGAGCATTTTTGACACAGGCTCTCTCCCACATTTTCATTCAGTGTTACTGACCTAGATTTCCTTCTTAAAACTCCAAAGTATAAGCAGGAAAACTCCCTTGCAGGAACAACAGCCTTCAGAATAAATGTGTTTTGTTTTGTTTTTTAAATCATAACTGCAGAGTCTATTTCAGACAAAGAATGAAAAATGAAATTTAAAATAAGAAGTAATTTACTTAATACAATGGAAAAAAACCCTAGACACTTTGGTTCTCCTATAAATGTAGAATGGGGAAAAAAAAAGGCCAGTTTCTATTTCTATGAAATTGGAAGCATTTTACAGAAAAGGCAAATAGCTAGATATTTAAAGTGTCAATTAATCTAGTAATATCTGTATCTCTATATATCAAAGCCAGAATAATTGTATCAGATAAGAGCCATTCAAACTGCAACACAGACCAATAGATCTTCATAAAAAAAAGTTCATTGATATGGTTTCAGATTCTACAATGCAAGTAACCTTTAAGAAATGACCACTTCTCCAATTATGTTGTCAAATCAAAGAATATCTAGTTACCTGAGGAAAAAACTATCAAAATATCCTTTATCTTAACTTACATATGTATACATGAGATGGATTTTCTTCTTATAGTTCAACTCAAACAACATACTGTGACAGACTGAATGCAGCTGTCTTCTATTAAACCAGACAGTTCACCAGAAATTTAGATATACCACCAGCCTTCTTACTGAACATTCTTTTTTAAAAAAGTACACTCATTAAAAATGTTAACCCTTGGGCAGGGTGTTAATGTTAACATATCATTATATATTTTAATATAAATTATAATTAATATAAATTTACATTTATTGTTGCTGTTTAAAAAAATGTTTCTAAAGTCTCCATTTTAATATCAAATTTATAAATATTGATAGATAAAACCCATTATATAAAAAAAAGGTCTTTGGGGTCCTTAATAATTTTTTTCTTTTCTTTTTCTTTTTTTTTTCATTTATTTTTATTAGTTAGAGGCTAATTACTTTACATCATTGCTGTGGTTTTTGTCATACATTGAAATGAATTAGCCATGGATTTACATGTATTCCCCATCCCGATCCCCCCCTCCCACCTCCCTCTCCACCCGACCCCTCTGGGTCTTCCCAGTGCACCAGGCCCGAGCACTTGTCTCATGCACCCAACCTGGGCTGGTGATCTGTTTCACCCTAGATAATATATGTGTTTCGATGCTGTTCTCTTGAAACATCCCACCCTCGCCTTCTCCCAGAGTCCACAAGTCTGTTCTATACATCGGAGTCTCTTTTTCTGTTTTGCATATAAGGTTATCATTACCATCTTTCTAAATTCCATATATATGTGTTAGTATACTGTAATGGTCTTTATCTTTCTGGCTTACTTCACTCTGTATAATGGGCTCCAGTTTCATCCATCTCATTAGAACTGATTCAAATGAATTCTTTTTAATGGCTGAGTAATATTCCATGGTGTATATGTACCACAGCTTCCTCATCCATTCATCTGCTGATGGGCATCTAGGTTGCTTCCATGTCCTGGCTATTATAAACAGTGCTGCGATGAACATTGGGGTGCACGTGTCTCTTTGGGGTCCTTAATAATTTTATAAATAGCTTTACTGAGGTACACCAAACATACAATAAGCTCCACATAGTTAAAGTGTCTAATTTGATAAACCTTGACTATGTATGCCATCACCACAAGAGAACATACTCGGAAGTTTCCTAATTTTTAAGCGTGAAAACTGGTCTTGAGGCCAAAAAGCTTGAGAGCTGATGCCTTAAGAGTATTTAGATACATTCTCCCTCTGGAGAATTCTGCTATTTATCTGGAGAGTCAAGTAAAAAAGATAAGGAAGCCAAAAAGAGCATGGACTGGGGCAGAAGACTAAGGCACTGATCTAGCTCGATCCAAAGAGTTAACTCATTTAATTCCTTCAAACTTCAATATTCTCACCTGTACCATCACAGCATTGTACCAATACCTGGGATCTAAGCTCCCTTCCACTTACAAAAGTCTGTTAGTCTACACTTTACACCTCTATGCACTACACTGCAGGCTGATATTTACTATCATTCTTCTAGCCCCTCCCCCAACACCCCCCCCTTCTCCCCCCAGAGTCAAGAAGTCCAAGACAAAGTTCAGGCTTCACTATGTTTTTGTGATAGAAATTTAACCATCTGAAGAATGGGAGTACATAGAATAAAATATCTCATTATCTCATTAAGCACTAAATTATATGATGATGTTTAAAGAACATGGAAAGATAAGAAAATTAATGCTGGCAAGAGGGTTTCATAGATAAGATGGGGAAATAAATCTAGGAATATATATTTTCAATGGCTGTTGACACTATAAGTAACACATATGAGGATGTCTTAAATTATTACCACAAAGATAAAACAAAATTAGCTAGGGAAATAATGTGAATATTCATACATTTATTGATTATAGAATGATAAAGCAATTGTGGCAAAATGCTACTGACTGGTGAATCTGGAAAAACATACGAAAGTTCTTTATTTTATTTGGTTTATTCTTTCATTGTGTATCTGTAATTATTTCAAAATAAAAATTGAAGTACTTCTAGTTCTATTTTCTAAAAATAGAAACACGTGACAGAAAAAACTCTTTTCTCAGATTTTCCACCAATTCCACTTTTTATAATAAAATAGCTTTAAATGCTCATATCCAACTATATTAGGATGTCTTTCTCCTCTGCACTAAACAGGCAAAGACTTCATTAACCTTCCTAATTTGAATGATATATGGCCATCCCTAAATTGCTGGAGAAGTTTTTAAAAGACTTCTAGAGTTCTAATACTATTTGAAAACACTGAAGCACTGAAGGTCTCAAGAAGAAAAAGAGACTGAGTTAACAGTTTCTTTTTGGTTTGCTGTAAAACAAACCAGCATGCTTGTCTTAGAAATTTACTAACAAAAAACAAAAACCACAGTATGCTCATTTTGCTTCAACCAGAAATCTGTGCCCTTCCCAGAATGGGCACAGGTGAAGGCTGCCATCATAAGGCCACAATACACCCTAAGTTAGCAACAGTTGAGCTATAAACACTACATTGTTTTCAGCTGTTCCTTTTACTTGCCATGACACTCGATTTACTACCATACTGAATGTACACCGTTCCTATAAACATGTTTCTACACAAGTTCCTTTTTCATTCTCTAAAAAGTTGTTTCTGTACCCTTCTCTCCAGCATCCTCTACCCCATATAAACTCTTACTTTATAGAAAACAGTATTCTTTCACTGACCTTGTCTCTATTCCAAACTTATCTACATCAGTCCATGGTTACTTCTTTCCTTCCTATT